ACTTATGTGTCGCGTTCTTATCATGCGCATCCTTCTTTATATAATAAGATAAGTTATTATTTTTTGAAAAAGACTTTATGATTGTAAAGGATTTCTTTTAGGGACAATTACAAAAATGCCACTTTTTGAGTGCACATTTGCAAGAATGCCACTAAGGGGTGTCCGTTTACAAAAATGTCACTAATTATACATTTATAAAGCCTATATCTTAAAATTCTAAACCCTAAAAAATGTTTTGACACCTAAAACCCCCTAAACACTCAAAACTAAACTATAATAGAACATAATTAACCCAAACATAAATAATATAAAGAAAAAATAATTTTGAAAAAGTGGCATTTTTGTAAAAATTTCAAAAGTGTGGCGTTTTTGTAAAGTGGCATTTGAAAAGTGATATTTTTTGAATTTCTTATTTTTATAATCGAAATTTAAAAGAGTTGTTAAAAAGAAAGAAAAAAGTATATATACACACGAAAGGTTGTTTTTATTAATAAAGTAAACGAATGAAATAAGATATTGCGTGAAGACAGAAATATATATTTGTTGGAATCAGAGCCGCCCTGGTGACCTGCCAATTTCTCATATATTGACTTGACCAGCGGAACTACTAAAGATTTTTGTAAAATCAACGGCTCGTAAAATTAATAAAGTCTTCGTCGGTCCCAAGCAGATGCTTCACTAGCTTCTAGCTAGGGTCAGCTCTGGTTGGAATATAAATTTCCGTTTGTTATGAATAAGAGATTTGAAAAAGAATAGTGTTGTGCATTATTTTATAAAAAAATACAGAGTATATATAGATATACAAAATTTGAGAAAAAAAATATAATTTAAAAAATAAGTGTAAAACATTCTATAACATAGGTTTAAAATGGGTTTATAATGAGCATTCATGAATTCATAACACCGCTATATTTGAAAAATCTATATTTGAAAAATTATAAGAAGGTTCAAAAATGACGACGCGCAATGTAACAAGGAAAGTTACAACAGATTCAGACAACGAACATTTGGACCACCACTGATGTACGTACGTACGTGCTCACAGTGCCCAAACACCAAATGTTCACATGATTTAAGGCCCAACAATGCGCAATATTTAGTTAGTGAAGCCCTGGGAAGATATATTGGCCCAATAAATAACAAGTTTAGAATATTCGTCCTTTTATAGCAAATGGAAATATTAGTTTAATTTAATGACCCAACAATACTCTATTTAAAAAACACTTTTTGTTGGTTTTCAAACAATTGAATGTTGTCCTCTATTCTTTATGGAATAAAGATCTCTCTCAGACGTTAAAAAAACAAAAAAAAACACTTTTTGTTACGCACGATTCGTGTGTTTAAAAAACAATTTTTGTTTTCATGTAAACCAG